TGAACTGCGACCCCGCCACGCTGTGACGGTTACGACGCTTCGCCGGGTACACTGGGAAGACCACAGACAGGAAGTGAGGTCACAGATTGGAGAACAGACATTTTGTAAGTGTTAAGGGACTGTGTTATTGTTATTGTGTTATTGAAAAGACACAAATAGAGACGTGTGTGTGTGTTGTATGAAACCCCGCCCCCATGTGGCCCCGGTGTGTGTGTGGTGTGTGTGTTGTGTGTGTGTGTGTGTGTGTGTGTGTGTGTGGTTGTGTGGTTGTACCTGGTGGAGGCAGGTAGCCGTTAAACAGCACGTTTCCACAGGACGATCGTCCAGCTCGTCACACAGCTGCAGCTTACGCACTAAAATAAAAACAAACATGAACATTTAGAAAACAGATCAGAATTAGATTTTAGCGAGCGCACGTCGACTTCTCTGCGAGTCTCACCCAGCGGCGTGATGCCGTAAAACTCGGCCTCGTGCATGAGCATGTGCACGTTGATGGTGCGGGGGTACAGCTCTTTGGTCCGCAGGAAGTTGAGGATGGTGGCGAACAGCGAGGGGTCTCTGTCGATGAGATCTACGGTGGGAGAGGAGGGACAAGATGTCAGAACTTCATCACTGAGAGGTCATTAAAAAACAAATCCTCGATACTCACCGCTCCAGTTTCATCCTTCAGAGTCGAGATGCGACCGCTCAAAAGACTGAGGAGAGAAACACAAAGCATCTGTTAGAGATCAAACACACGGCAGGGAGCTCTAACGGTACAGGACGTCACACTGCTAACCCTAACCCGGATTTATTTACTGACCTGGAGAAAAAGGAGTCAGGAACCCACGTCAGCGTCTGTCGGGACGTGCTGAACCTACAAACAAACAAACAAACAAACAACTCCTCATTAACTCTTCTCTAAAAGCATAGTTTAAAATGTTTTGATTTATTAATCTCATTAGGATAGGATAGGTTAATACTTTATTGATCCCCAGAGGGGAATTCGGGCGTTGCAGCAGCAGCAGACAAGTAAGCTCAAAATACAAAATACACATTAAACAGAATAGAGAAGATAAATAAAAATAAAAACAGAGGGTATATACAAGTACAAAATGAATGATGAAGTTAACTATGCAGGGAATTGAGACAGTATTTGTAGAGAATGACAAGATAAAGTGACAAGTGATGATTAAAGTGATTTGGTAACATCAATAGCAGCAAGTAATGTAAACAGAGAGAAGAGAGGCAGTGTTGTACCACAGTGATGCAGAGTGCAGTTATATAGTATAATGTAGTATAATATAATATAATATAATGTAATTAATATAATATTATATAATATAGACTAATATAATTACATAATAAAATATATAGAATGTACAGTATATGTATATATATATTGATGCTAAATATAATAATAATAATAAATACATGTTAGTAATGATATATGTCAGGATTACAGCGATCTAAAAAGAAAAACGTCTGAAATTAAATCTTTTTCACTGGAAAACAAGTTTTCAAAAGATATCAAGATAATAAGAGCGGATCTCGTTATCTCGTTAAGACTGGAGAATAAAATAAAATGTACTGATGTGTGTCCGCTTTGGGCTTCCGTACAACACACTGTTATTCTAATACTTTCAGACCTAAATAGTATACTTTAAATGAAATGCATGTTTTAACTTTAAAACTAAGCTGAAAACATAAAAAGTTTGACTGCTGAAAGATAATGTTTCTCACAGGACAGAGTTTAATGCTGCTGCGGACAAAGTACAACAGGTGAACTTACACTGTGATTAAATCATTAAGCTAAATATTACCATAACATTTACAGTTATTTATCTTTGTTTTAGCGAATTTATTTCAGAATACAATCAGAGTATCTTAACTTTTCCTCTTTAACTTTTAAACTTGCACATTTAGTTTAAATGTGCAAGTTTAAACACATTTAAACTTGCACATTAACTAAATCACAAGTTTAGTGCTTATCGCTGGTTTTATGGTTCAAAGTGTGACCGTGTTAACTGGAGACTTTCAGCCGAGCGGTACGGCTGAAAGTCTCCAGTTAACACGGTCACACTTGAACCATAACACGGACACGATAGTAAGATTTGGGTAAACTTATAAATAAAAAAGCTTGTTTAATGAATGAAGTGGTTTTTATAACGGAGTTAAACATGATGTAAAGGTTTTGTTTCACTTCATCGGTGCAACATGAACGACAACAAAGGCTCTTTAGTAGCTTTGTTCCCGGTTAGCTTGTTAGCTTGTTAGCTTTGACACTCCTCACCTCTTCCCTCCGACATTCAGGTGGATGATGTCTCCATCCTCCCGTGTGAACATCATCTCTTATAAATCAGATACTCCAACAGTCCGAGCCTCCAAATACAATAACAACACTTTCGATTTTTAATCCATATTAGAATAAATTCAGTTTCCGTTGTTGTTATAGACCAACTTCCTGTGTCCCAAAGAGTCAGAGGGCAGAGAGACCCCGGGTGGATCAGGAACAAGAGTC